GTATTTTTTTAAAAAACCCAGTTGGCCTTCTGAGTCTAGGATCCCTTCTTTCCAGACTGAGTTGACTTTCTTTGACTCCAATAGCAAAAGACCATCTGAAGAAAAAGCCTTGGAAGTATAATTTCCCATAAATTCATTTTTTCTTTTCTATTTTTTTCAAAAAAGAAAAAAATCTGAAGCACGACATTGGCCAAGCATTGATATGTGCTACTGCGATTGTATCCACACTATGATTTATAATACTTAGTAAATTCGCCTCCTCCAGTTGATTTGTCCTGAGCTGTTCAAAATGTCTTCTTTTGGCAGGTCTGTCTGCAGAAATACAGAGACCACCAAAGAGAACAAAGTGAGTAACCAACTCTTTTGTTTGTGTGGAACCTATGGCAGGAGTGGGGATACAAAGGCAACCCTCCCTCTGCACCACACCTGACCCTTCCTATTTAATGACCAGTCTTAAATGTTAGTCTTGTTGGCGGGTTAATACGTAATGTCTTTTGGGAATATTGTTTAACAACACAAGTGTTTTTCCATAAAAATACAGAACAGAAGCAGATAGACTAGGTGACATCCTCACAGGAGAAGGAGCTGGCAGAAAAAGATGCCACCATAAGAGCTGTAAGTCATTCATTTCCCTCACAATCCTGATTTAAGCCCCCTCTTTTTGTCTGCGTATCTATATCCGATGACTGATGCATGCTTCCTTTAATTTCCGCATCTTAGTTGGAAGAGGAGAACAAGACGTTAGCCAGCGAACTGGCCCATCTTTTAGAGCGGAATGAGGAACTCAAGCACTTAACAAATCTTGATCCAGAAAGTGAGTCTTATTTTAACTTAAGAACATTTTAATTGTTTTCATTTTAAAAACAAAAGTGATTTATTCATCTTGGCTGTACGAGTTCTAATTTTTTGTTACTTTTTTTTGCCAGGAGAGGCTGACAGAAAGGAGTTGGAGGTTGCAATATTGAAGAAAAAATTGGAAATGGAGCAGAAGGCAATCAGCCGACTCACCGCTGTAAGTATCTTACATGATAGTAAGAAATTAGAACAACCTCTGTAAGCCAGATTTTATAATGTACTAACTGTACTTGCTCAATTTCTTTTAACAGGAGGTCTCAAGAGAGAGGGAGAGGAGAAGAGACCTCATGAGAGCGCGGGACCGGGCAATCGATGCCATCTGCTCCCAGCTACTGTCTATCCCTTATTCGGAGAGAAGATTGTCGGTGAGCTTTGTCCTTCTGCTTCTGGGAGAGAAATAGACATATTTCAATTGATGACTCTCTACCCCATTCTAAAATATTTGTTTAACAATTTTCAGCCTCTGCAAGAAGCAAACAGAAAAAAATATCTGAATGCGTCAAGAAGGTAAATGACACCATTTTTAAGACATTACATGTTTTTTTCCATAGAAAAGTTATCATACAACATTTGGTAGTAAAAATCAAATCAATTTTGCAACACAATTTTTATTTTTTTACAGTAGCTCGGGGTCAAGTGAAAACAGATGACTCTATCGCGGTCAAGAACATGTGGGTTCCCAACCGCAGATTGTAGTAGAGATGGAGTAAGTGATCGGATATGTTTCTGTTTCATTCTGAATATGGTCAATATTTTCGGGCAAATACGGTAGGAGTCATGCAAAAAAAAAGAAGAATTTTTTTGTTTGAATGTTTCCATGAATTATCCTGAAATTTTCACATTCAGGTTAGGCTATAACATTCAGCCACGAACTAGGAGATTTTAGACAGAATGCCCTCTCTTATGCCATTAGAAATAGAGCTTAGATGGCTTTTCTTGATGTGCTGGGTTGCATTGTTCCAAAGGCAAATGTAATTTAAAAATTTGCTAATATTCTACCTGCTAATTTTTGCTGAGAAGTTATTCATCAGATTAACTATTGTCTCTTTCAACTGGCTAGTTTGCATTAGACAAAAATGCTGTTTGATGTGTAATTTAATGTGTTAGTTATTTTTTATTGAAATTCTTATCTGTGTTTCAAAATAAGATCTGGTTTTTCTTCAAATACAATCTTCAAATACAGGATTGCACTAACATGACTTCCATTCTAACCTACTTGTTTTTAATCTGTTTCAGTGAATTCAAAGACACCTGTCCCTCTTTTTGGGACTCCCTCTTCTCCCGTCTTAACTCAACCAGGAAAAACCAGGACCAGCTGTGGCTCAGAGATGCAGTCAAGTGACATACATCACTTTTTACACCTCTTCCCTTAACCAAGACCATGGCAATTGGTCCCAACTGAAGTCGTAACATGATGACTACCTGTATTATGAACATTCTCCTTCACCACCAAATACGCTCCTGAAGAAATTGCTTTTGGCATCCATTTCTTGTCTGGGGGTCAAAGTCAGGAAAATGCTTCCAGAAATTTGAATGTCACACAGGATGATCGTGCCCTGCAAGTTTCTGCCCTGAGTACCTGGCATGTTAAGAAAGAACACCTCAAGAGCGCCCAAGGGAAAGACATCAAGCGTGCTTTGGCCAATGGCCTTGCCAGCCAAGTTGATACCTTCCATCTGCCCAAATGTCCACCCATCCATTGATGATGAAGTAAAAGATGATTCGGGATCTGGAGGCTAAGTCTTACGACGATTGAACTAGGCGTGTCTAGCCTAACCAAGAAAAGGAGTAGGAGTGTCATGATAGCTGTCTGCCAATAGTTGAGGGGCTGCCAGAGAGAAAAGGGGGATGGCCTATTCTCCAAAGCATCTGGAACAGGATAAGAAGTAACCAACTGAAAATCATCATGGAGGGATCCAACCTAGAATGATGGATAAATTTCCTGATAGTGAGAATAATGAATCAGTGGAAAGGCTTGCCTCAGGCTAATTGGAGAATGTGATTAATGACTGCTTCATGGGGGTGGGAATTGCAATTTGTTACGTTGTATCGGGGGGAAGGGAATCTGGTTTTGGGTTGAACTATGTAGTGCCAATACTTTGTTTCCTGAACAAAATGTTCTTTAAGGAAGAATTCTTGCCTTGAAGTTCTTTTGATGGGTTTCATCTATCGGAATCATGAGAGTATATGCAAATACAACTCAACAGAACGTTCTCACTTACAAGTGCACCTCAGCTGAGAAAGGAAGCTCTATATTGCTTTCCATGGCTTTCCAAGTGGCACATCGATTCCTTAATCTGTTCAGATGGAAGAGTACAGCGCTGTCTCCCAAATTTCAATCGGTGACCTTTTAACTATGATGCAGAGAAACAACAGGCTATACAAAGTGAATGAATGGATGAATGGATGAATAAACTGGGTCCAAGCAACTTCTTCAGGCTTGTAAACCATTTTGCACATTCGTAAAATCGGGCAGGAGCACGTGACCTTCTTAACAAATGGCATAATGCTGCAACTTTGGAATTGGCTACAGTCAAGTGAATGGAGAAATTTCCTGATAGTGAGAACAATGAATCAGTGGAAAGGCTTGCCTCTGGAAATTGTTGGGCTCCATCCCTGGAGGTTTTTAACAAAAGATTGGACAGCCATTTGTTATAGGGTCTTCTGCTCAAACAGTAGGTCGGACTGGAAGATCTCCAGGGTCTCTTCCAACTCTGTTATTCTGTATTCTCTAAGTCTCTTGTTATGTCCAACTACTTATTAAAAACCATGGGTTTGATTACACTGTCTACTCTCTCTTGTTGCTATATTGAGCCTGAGCTAATGTGATGTCTGCTGTGTTTTTCTCCCCTTTCCCTTCTGCTGTCTTCTCTTGTAAGAGAAAGATGTACATCTTTGTGTTGCCATGAAAAATGTAATACTCCTGGCTTGTTCCTTTTTCTAACACACCCCATGCCCATCTTTGGGCAGTATGTGAAATCTAACTTCTTCTGGTGAACAACACTGTTGCTCTACAGACCAAAACTCAAAATTTGCAGGGATGTCTGACTCACAGACTTCTTGAAATAAAACCCTTTTTAAACACTGGGAGGAAAAAGGACTACCCTCAAAGTCTTTCCACAAAGACTCAAAAGGGATCGAAGTGATGGGGATTCATGAAGAATCTGCCCTTGTTCAGCTTTTGCAGAGAAACGCCACCAGCAACTTTGACAAAAGAAGGTAATGAGCGGGAGCGTCATACACCTATAAATGGATCTAAAAGTGCATTTCATAGCTTAAATATTTAAATATACTTTTGTTTTGGTTAATTTTTAGTTTCGTGTCACAGCATGAAACTTTACTTTCATGTTTGGTTTGTTTCTTCTGAACAGTGAGTGTACCACAGAATATTTTAAGAAATGCATGTTTCGCAAACAACACTGTTTCAATCCCTAAGGGTGCACATACTGTATCATGACATGTTACTTGTGGAGTGATCTGAACTATGATCTGTGCCTGACCATATTTGACTGATGAGTCTGGGACTGAGCGCTTGGTGATACCTTGATCCAAACACCGGGAGTCTTTTTAAATCTCTGACAGGCTTTGGGTGCAACAGCAGCTGCAAGGAGAGTTTTAATCTTAGGGAAAACTAGTGATTGTCTTAAGAACCTCAGGAGTGCTGCTTGCAATGCAATTCCAATAAACCCAAGGGGATCTATTGTAGACTGTGTTGATCTTGAAGGTGACTAGATTCCTTTTTTAACAAAACCTTGCATGAAGAGCGTAAATAAATGCCTGTTCCAGTTTATATGTAAGCTACAGTATATGCAAATACAACTCAACAGAAACACTTATAAGTGCACCTCAACTAAGAAAGGAAGCTCTATATTGCTTTCCATGACTTTTCAAGTGGCACATTGATTCAATCTGTTCAAATGGAGGAGTACAGCGCTGTCTCCCAAATTTCAATCAGTGACCTTTTAATCATGATGCAGAGAAACCACATGCTAAACAAAGTGAATGAATGGACGAATGAATGAATAAACTGGGTCCAAGCAATTTCTTCAGACTTGTAAGCCATTTTGCACATTCGTAAAATAGGGCAGGGCAGGTGACCTACTTAACAAATGTCATAAGGCTGCAACTCTGGAATCGTTTACAGTCATAAATTGAGGACTACCTATATTATAATGAATGTCAAGATAATGCGGAATAGCCTTATTTTCTGTATTTTTTTTCTTGTAAAAAACATAATGCGCTCTCTCTCTCTCTCTCATGACGCTTTAAAAATACTGATGTTTACAGAACAGTCTGTTTCTTCCTGTGCTCCAGTCTAGTAACCCTTTTTAATGCGATTTATCAAGGCGTTAGATTAAAAGAGCTCTTTAAGAGTTAGATCAAAAACGCCAAGGAAGCAATTTAGGTGCACAGCAAATTCGAAAGGATTTCCATTCAAGTCTTAAGAATCGGACCTTAACTTTGCGGCGTCATTCCAAGTTTTGTAAGTCAATTTGATGAAGGAGAAAATTTACCGAACTTTTCAGAACCTTTATATCCAACAAAATATCAGCCTTTCTGTCTTTCCATTGGAGGAACTGGAGAGAGCTTTGGGTGTCCAACGACTATTTTGCATACCTCATAAAATCCGAAGCAAATCGGGAATGTGGGAATTATATGGCGGATGCACACGTACACTAGCGGTGCCTTCCCCTCCCGACTTCTCCCCTTGCAGAAGTCCTGGAATCCCGGCGGTTCTTTTATAAGATCCTTCCATTTGGCTTAATCATAAACGCCACAATAGACAGTCTTTGGAGTTTTAACGATGTTTGCTTTGATTTGGAGGAGAGGAGGAGAGGGCATTATGTGTTTTAGGCCGCTGCATCAAAAAAGAGCTTGCCATTCTTTAATTTTCCTAAGCTTTACAAAACAGGTAGATATATTATCTGGAGAAATCTCTCTCATCCTCGATCTCTCTCTCTACCTGTCGCATGTCTGCTTGTCGAACACGCAAGAGAAAATCTGCGAGAAGAAAAGAGGGTCTTCCTGCTTCAGCATTCTTTGTACTTGCGGTGGAAGGGCGGTGGGTCTAGCCATGATGATGATAATTCTAATAACTGCAAGGAAAGTTAGCTTGTAGCTAAGCCGGCTTTTCCTTCCTGGTGGAGTCTCATCCCATTCTCAGTCCCCCTTTATCGACCGGACGCACAGATGAGCGAAGAGGCTACACTCGAGATCCGGAAGTCTTCGGCGAAAGCCGTTGCGACCGTAGCCTTTTGGGGTTTGCCACTCTCCTCCCAATGCGCAAGCGCGGCCCGAAAGGGTAGGGCAGGCCGGGAGTGCGGAGCTTTTGGTTGCGGCGGCGACGGCGGCGGGTTGGAAGCTGGCACCGCTCGAGCGCCCTTCATGGCTGCTCAGCCTTCGCCTTCCGTGCCGCTCACTCGGCGGCCCCTGTTGCTCGGCCAGGTGGAGGGCTCGCAAGACGCGGTGACCATGGCGGCCATCGTGCCCAAGGAAGAGGGGCTCATCAGCGTCTCGGAGGACAGGTGAGGAGGGTCGGGCGGGACGAGTCTTGGCGCGCCACACTGTCCGGGCAATCAGGGTCGGCTTAGCCGAGCTCCTGCCCGGGACGGCTGTGCCATTCCGACGTTGCGGCTCGACCAGCTGCTGCAAGCTGCTGCAAGGTTGGCGCTTAATCGGGAGAAAGCCGTCCGCCTCGGTTACCTGGAGCGCCGGTCTCTGAGCAGAGGAGGACCGAGTCCGAGCTTGGCGCGGCTTCTGGACGAAACCGCGCTCCTCATCAGGCAGTGCGGGCGAGGGGGCTCCGGAGCTCTGCGGGAAAGGCAGCTGTGCTAGGTGCATCGCCGTCGCTTGCTGCAGTGACTGTCTCCGGACTGAACAGGCGCAGCCAACCCCATCGAGCCCTCTGTCCGAGTCTGGTAGCTCTGCTTTTAAAAGAAAGGCTGAGAAGGGGATTGTCTTGGTGGGAATGGAGTGAGCAGTAGATTGGGGTATCAAGGGCTGGTAAGATCCCAAACGAACCGAGGGATTCCTTTCTTTCCTAGGTCTTCTGATCCCAAAGCAAAGCTTGGGGGGGGGGGGGAGTTGGAGGTACTATGCCGTAACTCTAAGCCAAGTGGTCCTCTTGTTTTACCCTCGCAGCTATCTTGTTTTCTCAAGCTCTTTCTCAATAAGTCTACCTATCTAATCTAATCTAATCTAATCTATCTGTCTGTCTATCTACCTACCTACCTACCTATCACATTTTTGAACACTCATCTTCCTCAAAGAGTTGTTGGGAGACTTGTTGCCTCCAGTTACTTTACAGCTGAGAATTGCTCTGAGGCTTTCTTGGGTTCACCTGCATTGCCTCTTTAGGGATGCCAGCTAGCAATGCTGCAGTGCATAATTGGCAGATTCTTCTACACGATGTGACTCTTTTAAAGAGCAGTGGCAGAAAAGAGTAAGGGAACCTTGGTGCTGTATGCAGTATGATTTGCTTGTCATTGTTTTACCCCACTGTCTTTTTTCCATGTGAGGTCAGAATGTGTGTGTGGGCAAGTTAAGGAGGGGCTTTACAGATGCTGCTGAGTAAAACTCTTGGCTGCTCTAGTCCATATGGCCAAAGATGAGGGATCTTGGTGCTGTGCTTAGTAACAGGGTCACAGATTTCCCAGCCCCATCAGAAAATGTAGAATGCCAGATTTTTATTTTTTTTATTTTTTTGGGGGGGGGGGAGGGACCTACCATAAAGGGCCTGCTGACTGTTATCTCAACCTTCTAATTTTTTCTCTAAGTATCATATATCTCTCTATATATTACAATCTATATATATTGTAATATTACTATATATGTACACGGTCCAGGAGCCGAGTGCAAATGATTAGCGGTTGCATATAAGCTTTCCCAACGACTACCGTTTACATCCTGATGATGTCAAGAGCTCTTAACGAAAGCTAGGTTCAGTAAATAAAATCTTTTATACTTTTATATTTTTATTCTCTTGGTGATCGACTATTTATTGATTTTAATATGTATAGTATATGTGTAATATCAAAGGTTACATTTAATGACAGTCAATCAGTTCTAGCTTGGTATTTATATTTTAAAAATATATACTTACAGGTAGTACTTCACTTACTACCACAACTGAGCCCAAAAATTCTGTTACTAAGTGAGACAGTTGTTAAGGGAATCACTGCAGCTAAGTTAGTAACATAATTGTTAAGTGAATCTGTCTTCCTCATTGACTTTGCTTCTAAGGTGGTCTCAGAAGGAAGTCACACAACCTTGGGACACTTCAGTTGTCCTATACTTGAACCAGCTGCCAAGCATCTGAATTTTAATCGTGTGACCATGGGGATGCTGCAGTGGTTGTAAATGTGAAAAATGGTCATAAGTCACTTTTCAGTGCTATTGTAACTTCAGATGGTCACTAAATGAATGGTTGTAAATCAAGGACTATCTGTATTCTTTCCTGTTGCCTATAGTCAGTGCAGGTTTTGTAATAGGTGAGTTTATTCGTTTATTTAAACAATTTTATGGCTGTCCTTCTTAAACCCAGGAAACAACAAAACAACTCAATTAATGTAAAAAGAAATTAACAACCACAATAAAGAATGTGACTCCCCTCAGAACTATTGTATTGTTTAGGGTTACACATAATACTTGATCACTGCTAGGGCCTGAAAGTTAAAGTCTTTGAATTCTGTTTGTGTAACCAGCTGTGGCCTCTCTTTTTCTTCCTGAAGCTCCTCCTCATGTGTTCAGCTGTTGCAATAGTTTCCAGGATTCATTTTAGAAGAGAAAATTTGTAGTTCAGATTGTATTCTGTGGCATTCTTGGTGGTCTCTGAGCATGGTTGTTTTTTAGCAGACATTTCATTACCAAACTAGGTAACATCATCAGTGCACTAATGAAAACATCTGCAAGAAAACAGATGCCTGTAGGCTCAGGACCCTACAGGCTTCATTTTCTAGCCAGAATGTTTGTGGATGCAGGAAATCCCATCATGGAGAATATGCTGTCTCCTGTCGATCTTTTGCCACCATGTTCATCCAGTTAATCCAAAGCCTTGTTCTCTGTTAACAACGTGGTGCCAACTCCTGAGGTCTCCTCCTTTTATCCTGTGAAAGTCAAGTCTGAATTTGCCATTGGGTGTGCCTATTTGTTTAATAACCAAGGGATGGAACATGTAAGACCATGTAAGAGTCATATGATTTTGAAGCCTCTTCCTTGGAAAAATATTTCTTGCTCAGCTAATTAGAGCTTGAAAGTGCAGGATGTAAATGAGAAGTTGCTTTAACCCCTTTGCTTGTTCTTAGCTGAGGTCTTTGTTTTCTGTTTGACATGAGGTTCTGAACCGTTAAGACAGTGGTTCTCAACCTTTCTAATGCCGTGACCCCATAATACAGTTCCCCATGTTGTGGTGACCCCCAAGTGGGTGTGGCCACCAATAAGAGGGAGTAGGACAGCTAGGGAAAAGGGAAAAAAATGGCGGACAGCATGGTTTGGTGACCCCTGTGAAATGGTCATTCGACCCCAAATGGGGTCCCGACCCACAGGTTGAGAACCACTGCGTTAAGAAAATAATTATGAGGTCTAAAATGAATAAAGGTACTTATGAATTTATGGTGGAAATGTGAACAACAAGAAAGGACATTTTGTCATGTTTGGTGGCTGTATAATAAAGCCAGAAAATTGTGGATGCACATGTACTATTTAGAAGATTTTAAAGACCAATATACAATTGAAACCAGAGGCTTCTCTTTTGTGACTAATGGATAGACAGTTGGAAAAAAAGTCAAGGATCCTTGTTTTTATATTTGACAACTGCAGCAATATTATTATAAGCTTAAAAGGGGGAAGGTTTGGCACTACCACAATGGAAGAATGGTTGGTGAAGATGGTGGAATTTTCAGAGATGGCTAAACTGACTTGTTTGATTAGAGAAAAGACAACATCTATGCTCATTGCTGATAGGAAGTCCCTTATAGATTTTTTGCATGAAACAGAAAAAAATGCTTTAGTTTGGTGTTTTGATAATTAGAAAACATTAGATAACAGAAAAAAGTGGATATTTTGTAAATGTATAATTTTGCAATCATACTTGTATTTACTGCAAAGTATATCAGAAGCTTCTTCTAGTTTTTCTTTTTGCAGTTTTGTCTTTTTCTCCTTTTTCCCCTTTCCTTTCTTTCTTTGCTCTGTATTAGTTTTAACTTCTTTTTAAAACTTTTAATTAAATTGATAACATTAAAAGTTAATTATTCAGGATGAGCCCTGGTGTGAAGCATGCATACTTGTGTTTTCTTCCCTTACACAGTGAAGTCATTTTGGTTGAGAAATGCATATAGATTTAATTTTCTTTAAAGAAAAAAAGTTAGGTATAGTTTAGTCAAATGCACCTGTGACTCAGCTGTTGGGCAAGCGGGTCCCAAATCAACCTGACAGAAAGAAAGCCGTCATTGCAGTGAAATAACAGCACTCACGAAGTCTCATTCGTCATCTTCAGGCTGGTGTTTTCGGCTTCGTGCTTCTAGGAGGTTGCTCCTAGAAGCACGAAGCCAAAAACACCAGCCTGAAGATGACGAATGAGACTTCGTCGAAATGTCGCCAAGACACTTCCAATTTGATGCGGGAGAAAACCCGAATAACCAAAGACCTACATACAAACACCCGCGAAAACCTCAGAATATATATATATATATATATATATATATATATAAAATTTATATTTGTTGAGGTTCCTCTCCCCTCTCCCCTGCCAACTCTTTTATTGCAGACAGTAGTGTTGTCATTTTATTGCAGATGGTGGTGTTGCCATTTTATTGCAGACAGTGGTGTTGCCACCAAGTCTGACAATAGAATATTCTGAACACCCCTAGAGTTGGGAATTTTCTTCCTCTGTTTAGTCAAAATCTGCTTCTTAATTGTTTCCTCTACTTTCTGGAACAATCGAGATCAGACATATTCTTAGAGGCTGCTTCTCCTATTCTGAACGTATTTTGAGCGGAGAATGCATGTGCTGGCAATATTGCTATTATGAGTCAAAATAAATGCATAAAATATTTGGTATTTTCAATAACAGAGTTGATTGTTCTCACGTTTTCTCCCGAGTTACACATTATACAATGCTTGATGTTTTTGTGCTTAGCGAACACCTAAAGGTCAATTTTGAGTCTAAAATAGAATTTTAAAAAGTACAGGCAATGCAGGAAGGGTTCTAGGTCTTCCATCTTTCGGGGAGGATCAGGAGGATATTGTGTATGAGCAGGCTTTGGTGACTGGGAACAGAGTGCAATTAACATTAGTTATGTATTTAATTCCATTTATAGCACTTCCCAAGTAATTATCTTGAAGTAGAATACAAATAATATAATGTGTATTGCTTATTGAACCAGGCATCAACCACGATTATACCTTCATTTCTTTCAATAATGTAAAAGACAGTCAAATTATGCCTTGAGCTTAATCTCCAGATATAACATCTTCTGTTATGTTTTTTTCTGCCCCCTGGATTCACAGTACAGATGGATGAGATGGC